ACGTACTAATAAGGAACTGTTTAAGCTTATATAAATATAAATATATTAATGTAAACATTTTTTGTATATCTATATTTATAATATAAATATGGTATCGTTATAGCGTGAACTGGTTAGTCAGTGGTAGACATTTATCTTATCTGTAGTAGATAGTTTATTAGAAAGATTCTACAAATTAAAATAAGAGATAAATTAAGAATTTCAAAATTGTGGTTTCGATATCGTTTTCGAGTTATCAACGATTAAACATTCCTTTGATCTATGAGTGCGCAACTGTGGCGCGTGTGAGGTAGGCCAGCGCACGCGACAGTGACGTATTGCGTGTGAGACAGCGACAAAGGTTCACGTGCGGTCTTGGAGGACTTTAATCGCTAATACCTTGAAAACGAAGCCGAAACCACAATTTCGTCACTCTTGATTGTCGTTTTATTTTGGCTTGTACAATCACTCCTTAAAATATCTACCACACCTACTCGAACACCTTGCGTATACAGGGTGAGTCAGCTAATTTTGCTACCTTAAATTAACTACTTACTTAAAAACTGCTTTTCATAAGAGAAAATTAGCAGTGTATAAAGTATTTCATAAATTTCGTAAGATTTTGGCATTTTCAGGTGTCTTATAAATGCGCACAAATCTACGGTCTATCAAATCACAATAATACACTACTTTACATTCTAAAAATGATAAGCCACAATTATGGACTATCATACATATGGATTTGAACACATTTGCAGTTCTTATATAATGATCGATAATATTAATTACAATAAACACAAACATTTCAATTAAATAAAAGTATCACTACTTATGCGTGATCTTTGGTTTTTATGTATTCACAAGGAGAACTCAAAACTCCGCACAATGATCATCACATGAAAAAATATATAAGAGCTCCAAAGTGTAGTGATTGTCACAATATTCGTTAAAAACAAAACATTTCATCCTAATTCTATTTTTCCAGTTATATTCATTAAAATTTCAATTCCCACAGTTCGCAACAATTTGAATTTCTATAGTACTGTAACAAAGCGCGGTAAAACACCGTTGCCGCTCGTTGCTCACAGACAGCAAAGTACATCTCGACTAACGCATTGTTCTGCTGATCGACTTTCTCGATACGCCGATGTCGGTGTAATGCGTTGAATTATTTCATTGACTTTCAGCGCGTACTCTCCTTGAACCGACGCGACGCACGCCGCGAACGTCCTTAAAGTGACGTATCACGCGGAGTCGTATTACCAGTTGCCATCTAATTCGTTCATGGTTACAATCGCCGCGTTTTTTTCTGTTTTTTACCATGGCGGAGATGAGATCACGTGTCCCCGGCCATGGACATTCAGCCATTCGCATGATCGAATTGTTTTCGTCCGGCGTGTTGAGCGCTGGGACACCGTCTCCCACAATTTTCCGACGACTTTTATCGCCTCTGCGTTAAGAGGCTTGAAAAACCCGGCACAGTTACAAAGATAAATTGCCGAAGAGAACGTCCGCTGGGCGTAATTGCGATCATCGTTACTTTTACGTGTCGCCGCGCCGGCCATCTTTGATTGACGCCATGATTAAATGAAGTAACGGACGGTTCAAACAATATACCAACGTTTGCGAGCATGACACTGGTAATATTCGAATTTTTTGGGGAATTTTATAATTTTCGAGGTTCTGCGAAATGTACGGTGGAGTTCGAGTTGAAGTTTCGAAATTGTTTTCGTAGTTCTTCTGAATAATTTGTTATGATTGTCTCGTAGCGACCGAAACGAAACTGGTCATTTCTGGTCAAAATGAGACAGACATATCAGTGTACAATTTTCTAAATACTACAGTAACGATAAATGTGTACAGATTCGTAAATCACGATCATCGTTAGTTTCGACGCACTCCGGGGCGCAGGAACTACTAAATATCTCGAAATGCGCGGCAGGTTTATTCCCGTTGAAAAATTTCACGATGTCGTTACTCCGTTTCCCGGGCTTGCACAATTGCAACGATATTCCTTGTCTGTGCGTCTGCGGTTTCGACTTCAGAATGGAAATGCATGAAATATTGAGTTCCAAATGAACCGATTATTCGTTTAAGATATATTAAGTAACCATAAAACATTTGAGTTTTTCCAGGCACAACGGTGGGAATCCATTTCATCGAAAATCCAGTCGGGTTTCCTGAAAATTAACCGACACTGAATCTGTTAAGACGTACGAGGAAAACATAAACAACTTCTAGCGCACTCGAATATTCCCGCAAACCGCGGTGCGTGTTTATAATAAACGTACTGTGAACACAGTTTACGACACGGGTTTATTTTCAAACTTTACCGGCGCGATCTTGAAACTTCCCCATCGCCGACGAACGCCATATTGTTCTAAACGCTCCGCTTCGACGGTATTTACACGCGTCACTCGTCGAAAATCGTAAACGTTCGAAAAGCTCGCGCGATCCTCGCAGAAGGCACTGTACATTGCCAGTCAAATTCGCCAGGCCGAAGACTTATGGAAATGTTTATAAATATTCTTCTAGAATGTTGCTTCTGTAGCGAATGAGAGTAACCGTGCCAACGATATTTATATCGCCCTAATTCTCACACGATCTGGCTGATATTTCGAAAATATTTAATATACGCTGATTAATGGAATGAAAATTTACATTCTTCTATATTCTATATGATAACTTAGAAACATATGGATTGAAATTCCATTTTGTATGATGCGTTAAAATGATTTAGTTACATTTGCACGCAATCTGATCGAAAGTGAGCGAATGAATTCGACAGGAGATCGTTTCGTTGAAACGAGTCATGGTGGTCATCACGCTCCATTTCTTGACCAATTGGTCTCGATGATCGGCTATGGCGAGCTCGGCGCCAAAAATAATTGCCAGAGGCCCGCGATTGCAAAGCAGAAGGCGAAACGAGGGCGTTTCTTCCTCTTTATCTTTGTGTACGTTCCGCGGCTGCGTTGCTTTTGCCGGGAACCAGTCCTCCTCTGTTTTTATTGTACGATTCGTGTTCGTGTGCAAATGGAGTGGTGGAGCGGTAACGCCGAGCGGAAGGTTAGAATACAATTTTTCTTGAACGGATCGACATTTTTTTGTTTCTTTCCGCCTCCATCACGATATACGCATATATTTGCAGTTTCGAGTAACTTATCTTGCGTGTTGCACTTGGCTCTTGTTGCGTCTCGTAAATACGATTCTTTTTTACAGCTGGAGCTCGCTTGTTTCGAGAATTTGTCTTTGAAAGGTAGCTTTCTTTGAGACAGTAACAGAACTTTGAACAAATGTTTTGTCGAAAGAGTTTATACTTCTCCTGTTCGAATATTTCTCGGTGAGGGCGACAACGATAAAGGCTTTCGATACGGAGTTTCTTATTCATAAGGGAAAAGAGATTATTTGAAATTAAATTATTTCCATTGAAACGCTTAAGATATTTTTATTTTCGAATCAAAGGAGCCGATTGCGTTATATCGAGCGTTTATTATTCGCGTCAGAATTTCAACACGTAAACCGTATGACGATCATCTGTGCGTCCTCACTCTTTCTATTAGTGATATGGCCGCTGGCCAACCTTGTGATCTGTGCTGAAATTTCTCCGCGATGTCTTTAACGAGAGTTCATTTCCGCCATCTGGTTTACAAACAAGCTGCTATTTTTGATAGGTAATTAACATGTTGAGTAATTGGCGACCGAGAAAGAAACTGTCCATTTGTTGTTACTGTGCCATGTAGCTGCCAGGCTTGCATTATGACTGTTAAATATTAATCACCACCTACTTCATTAACTATTTGATGAATTAAGTAGATTAATCAATTAATTAATGTTTAATTATGAATAAACTATAAATAAAATTGAATCGATCTTTTAAACTGTTAAATAATAAATACAAAGATATTCAATAAAAATACTTACAATACGATATAAGTGTCTTTTATCTCAAATACATTTCAAAATGGCAGTAGATGCGTTAGCGTCTGTCCATTTCCGAAACAAAAGCTCCTTGTTCCGTTCTAGCCTTACGCGCCAATGAAAAACCCAGGAAAACTTAATAAATTCCTCCATATGTCAGATCGTCTCGTAAATCTGTTCATCGAACTGAGAAGCTTCTAAACAATTGATTCAAGGATCCTACAGCACGAAATTACAGGTTGCTCGATGGACTCAATTCGGAGCTATTATAATATATCAACAATGTAATGGTTGCAATTTTAACAATGTAATAGTATGATCGCAGCGCGGGTAATCGTTGGGGAGGTCGACGATGCTTCCATAGTATTCTACCTAATCTGCGCCATTGAACAAAGTTATTAACAATTCCTGTTTTTTCTCGTTCATTGGCCCGTCCTTGCCAACGGACGGACGCGCGACCTGTGTCCGTTTCAATTTACTCACCGGTGTCTTCGCTGCGTCTTGCAGCTGCGCGGTCGGCCATTTTGGCGGGTAGATTAAATTAAGCCCAATCGACTTTTCTTTTCCCCGTCGCCCGGTTCTTTCTGTCGCGAACACGTGCGACGTGTTAACAACCACGTAATTCTGTTCCGCGACATCGAATCATCGCACATTGAGTATTAACCTTTCATCTGCGTGTTTTCCGAACGTTATAAATGCGCCAACTCGATACGAACTAAATTAACACATATCGCACATATTGTACGTAGCTTTAATAAGTAAAAGTTTCTGATTAATAAATATTTTTAAAATGTGCCCTTTAAATTAAATATTCAAAGTGACGATGATTTTTAACTTTGAACGAGTCGTAAGTAATTCAGGAACGTTTTATTTACATATATAGAACCATCGATCACTAAAAGTGATCAATTTAGGATCTGTTATAAAGATTATAAAAATATCTCTATTATTTCGATTACTGTAAAATAATATCTGAGCCAACATCTAGCCATTTATAGGTCTATCGTTAAACGGTGCATTTAAATTCCCTTTAGAGCATAAGCGACGAAACGAACAGGCAGAGAATGAAATTCTCGCTAAAGCGCGATCTGTTCTGTTTCCAGGCGAACAGCGGCAGCCAAAAGGCAGAAGATCCGAGTAGCAAGACGACCTCGCCCTCCGAGGGCCGGCACGCCGACGGAACATCCGGCTCGTCCGTCCTCGAGATGGGCAGCACTGACTCGGCGGGCAGCGCCCACGGTGGCGGTTCTTCTTGCGGCCTGGTTAGCTCCCTGTTCCCAAGTAGCTGTCGCGGACGGGCGGAGGCATTCGCCAGACGTCTTCATCGGCGACTGACGTCGCTGGGCACCGAGGACAGTTCTCAGAAGAATTCGGACTTGACTCCGAAGGAGACTTCTTGGCTGTGTCCGCCGTCCGCCGCGAAGCCGATAGCGAACAACTTAACCCAGAGCAACCACGTGCTGCAACATCAACCGCGTCACAGCACAGAGGCCGATCTCTGTTACGATTTTGATCTGGACATCGAAGACGGTTTGAATTCGCCGGCGGAGGAGGCCACGGCTGCCGAGGTCGCGGACCTCTTGGTGAATCCCGAGGTGTTGAAGATAAACCACCGAGAAACCTGCAACTGCTCGTCGAACGGCTCGAGCGCGATCCTCTCGACGTTGGACTTGGAATCCGGCTGCGTGTTCGCATCGCCTATCACCGGAACCTCACCCGACAGCGACTCCTCGGACATCTTCTTCGACCCGGAGTCTTCCGACGTCGAGAAGAAAAACGAGGTCTACTTCGATCCCGTGACCACCTCGGACAGCGAGGTCACCACCTCGAATCTTTCGAATGGCTGCGAGACGATGAAGGGCAAGGGCATGGTCTATCGCAGGAGACCGGAAATCAGCGTGGAGCATTCCGAAGACACGTCGGAATCGAGCGCCTCGTTCAGAAGGAACAATGTACGAGACAGTGAGCTCAGGAGTAACGAGGTGGAGGGCAACTCGGAGGACTCGAACGAAAGAAGCTCTCTGGAGACCACGTCGCCCAGCCACGAGTCCCTCTGGAGCACTTTCGACGAGAGTACAGTGTCCCTTCAAGATGATAACCCGTCTCGGGTTAATTCTACTCTGACAACCCTTCAGAATCGGCTGCCGAAGTCGCATTCCGATTCCGAGATACCTGTTCACGGGCCTAAAATACTAATCTCTCGAGAGTTGCACATACACGAGGACAAGGTGCGATACGACGTCGACGAGGTGGATTTCGTTAACGGGCTTTCCGAGAATGGCAAACTCGAAGACATCAAGAACGCAAGGAACCTCGCAAAGGACGAATCCCAGGACTCTTCGGAGAACACTGCCGAAGAGGAGCTTCCGTTTGACGATGAAAAACCCAAGGACGCAATTTTGTTGCAGCCCTTGCAGAACAATCTCAGTTTGAAGATAGACGACACCCTGGCTAACGAGTCGGACGACCACTCCACTTACAGCAGCATGATCAGTATACCGGGTGCGCTGACGTTGGAGTGCCCCTTCGGCGAGGAAGCCGCCGAACCGACGCTGAAGAACGAGGTAAAACTGCAGATCGAGAACGGCAGCGTGACGAACAGGAACGACGAGGACAAGATGTGCCTGCTGCTGCAGAAACTGACCACCAGTCCGACGGTCAGGGTCGACATTCCTATACCTAGTCAAGCGCCCTGCGAGCCCGTCCCGGAGGAGGAAGAGGAAGAGGAAGAAGAGGAGAGGCCGCAGAAGATCAGACGCTGCTCCTCGTTAAAAACCGGCAAGACACCGCCAGGCACACCTGGAAGGAAGAAGATCGTCAGATTCGCGGACGTGTTGGGTCTGGACCTCGCAGACGTCAGGACGTTCCTAGACGAAATCCCGAAAGTACCTAATTCGGCTTACAGCGACCTGATATACAACGACATCTTCCAGAAGGATTCCAGTCCAGTGAACACTGTGTCCAGCACGTGGGAAAGTGGGTACGCGGACAGCAGACGCGGATCAAGCTCTGTGATACCGCCCCGGAAGCCAGACAGAACGCTGGTGCCTTTGTTCCAACAGCCGGGCGGCATGGCCAACTTCCTGGACCTCGTTCGGGAGCGCCGCGTCTGCCTGGAGAACGTCCTCGTCCAGGACCCCATCTCCCTGTGTATCCAGGGCACCGTGCGGGTGATCAATCTCGACTTCCACAAGTCCGTTCACATCAGATACACCCTGAACTCGTGGAGGAACTTCAGCGACCTGCAGGCCACGTACGTGCCCAACTCTTGCGACGGGTTCAGCGACAAGTTTACGTTCGTCCTCTATTGTCACACGCTGACGATGGGCCAGAGGCTGGAGTTCGCTGTCCGGTTCCAGTGTAAGGGCGAGCAGTACTGGGACAACAACGCCGGGGCCAATTACTGTTTCCAGTGTCTGCCCGCGTCGTCCGCTGGCTACATACCCATCACAGCGTCGGAAACTCGGGGACACGAGTGGTCGCCGATCTTTTATTGACGGACCGCCCGATCGTTGATGTTCCGCGACGGGTTGCCGCGCGGAGGCGTGCACGTTTCACGAGGGCGATGAGACTAGAATTGGACCGGATCAAGGCCAACCCGCGACCGAAACAGCCTATGGATTCATAAACGTTCCTAAAGTGTACCTACTGTCACCGCAGGGGATTCCCACGGAAGGGTAGCTACGATTCGAGTTTTCAACACACGTGTTTCTAGAGGGATAAGCTGGAACTTCGAGTCGGCGTTACTGATTCTCTCCACTAATTATTTCGGGCTACTGGATACGAAAGGAAGGGGACTCGAGTACGCATGCCATTCAGACATGTTACCAAGTTCTGCGACTATGTTGATGAAACGCATCTTTCACACACAATACGCATTGGTTGTGCGAAGAACGCCGGAGTTTTGCCTCTGTAAGAGCCTTTTCTCCTGTCAGAGAGTACACGATAATCTTGTAGAGGCAAAACCTCTGCTAGAACCTTTGATGCTCGTGTCTATGAAGTGAGTGACCATGAGGCATGCGAGACTAGACGAAAGGAGAAAGAGAGATCGTACACGATGTCTTCTTCGCGTATTCCGTGCTGGAAATTAGTTGACGGTAAACCGACGGGGCTTCCCCCTCGCGAGAGTCCTCTGTGCCACTGTACATAACAGTCCTTGAAGAAGGAAGAACGAGTCTGATCGCAAGAGCAGGGATCACATCGGCGTCAATTATTCTTTCCTGCCATTTCCTCCTCGCGAGCTTTCGAGTGGACCGGAAGAATATGACGCGGCCGTTAGACTGATATTTTTTTACACGTTCATTGTTCCTTGTTTGCACAAGCATATCTACACGCATCTATATAATATATTATATTAAACGCGGAGGTGCCAGGAATGCGACGGAATCTTTCAGCAAGGCTCGAACAATGAGAACCACTGTATATATAATTTTCTATGTAACTTATTTTTCTCGTTTTTTTTCTCTTCTCTTTCTTTTTATTTCTCTTTCTTTTTATTTCTCTTTCTTTTTATTTCTCTCTCTCTCTCTCTCTCTCTCTCTCTCTTTCTCTTTCTCCCTTTCTCTCTCTCTCTCTCTCTCTTTCTCTTTTTCTCTCTCTCTCTTTCTCTTTTTCTCTCTCTCTCTCTCTATCTCTATCTATCTATAAATCTATCAATCTGTTTCTTTTAACGTTGACTAATTTTTTAAGGGAATTGATTTTAACTCACGGTATCGAGAATATTTTTTATTGTCGCAAACGATACCGACGCACGAATTCGTGCTCGTTTCACGGAGAAATTTTCTATTGTTTGGAGTCGAGTTTTTCGAAGACGAAGCTCGCGCCGGGAACGAATTTCTTTTTATTTGTATTAACGCGTGATGCGTGTCGATGCGAAGATTCGTCGAAAGATCGTTTCCTCTTTCTTCTTTTTGTTTTTCAAATTGTGAGAGGGAAATTTTGAATCACGTGGAAACTGTAGACAAGACAAGCCAAGTGTCAAGAATATGTCGTTTGATTCCTTGATCTCTTTAGCGGGGTGGTCCAGTTGTAAGCGTGCGTTGATTACATCGACACCCGGTATGCAAGCGGCTAAAGAGGCAGGGGAATGATGAACAGTCATTTTCATGGAACTGTATGAAATCTTGTACACATTTCTGAGCAGCCTCGGTATACAATCGGGATAAGCGATGAAAGAATTGCTCGCGCTATGATGCGCGAAAAATCGTAATAACGTTGTCGACGCAGTCCGAATTAGCAGTCGATCGTTAGCAGTGATTCGATGATCGAGAACGGAATCGAATCGCATGCCAACCAGGCATAATTTGTTCTGTGTTGTAATTCTGAAGGTACGTAATCAGTGGACTGCGGGTCTCTACGCAAGCTGAAATTTTTCAAAATATAATTAAAACAAGAAAATTACTATAGAGAATGGTATTTCCTAAGAAACATTGCAAAGATCGTTACGCCTTGGATATTTTATAGATTCTCTTCTCTTGTGCATTCCGTGCGGCGTTGAACCTCGAAATTTCCCAAAAAATGCGTAAACATCCGCAGTCTATTAATAATCAGTTATTTAGCCGAATTGAAAGGAACCGATGCCATTTGTTAACGAGTTAATCACCTTTGATCTTGTTACTGTCTCGAATTCGTAGACCGCAATAACGTTGAAACACATTTGATCGATGGTAAACATCCGACGAGACGATCGAACTCGAAAGTTCTAGCCATCATTGGAAATCACAAGGTAGTATTTCACGACGCTGTTACTCTGGTAATAATTAGTGTTTACTTCATGATCATGATCGTTGCCACTGGGTCTTGAAATTTTCACTTTTGCAACAGACAATAGGTAATATACATACTTATAAAGTTAAAACTACTGGTAAGATGACATATATGGAGAATTATCCTGATATTTTGTAATAGTTGTCCTCGTATAAAGTGCTGTCTATATAATGGACAGTGAACTGTTTATTACAAGAATGTACACTTGCCTCTGTGGATTCACACTGAGGTGATTAAGTTTTCTTCCGATAGTATTCCGTTTGTTCTATCACTTTCAGACTATCCATTTCATTCGCGTTGGATATTTAGTGGTGTTCATCTGTTTTCTTACGTAAAATATACCCATATTGTTGAAAGTGTTATCTTTGTTCTTGTGAAATGAGAACAACTGCCCCCTATCAGTGTGAGTCCACGCAACAAAGTGTACACGCACGTATGGTTTCAGTACTGGTGGTAAAAGTGTGTCTCGAAAACAAGTTTTTATACAAAGCATGCATATCAACACTCTCGCAGCTATATTTCACTTATAGCGAGAAATTTGTTAATGATTTTTACAAAGTTTTACATTTATATCGCACATGTGTTCCTAAGCGTCTTTTATATATACATATGTACGTGTTACGAGGTTATTTCAACTTTATCGATATACTTTTTTATTTCTATCGAACTGTTAGTAATATTGATGTGAAGAGTGATAGATTCAACACGAGATTACGTTTTTTTTTTAATCGTTAGACACATTGTGACCATCGTTACTGAAGCATAAGATATTTATATATTACTCGAACAGGTATTATTCAGATGATATCGAAGCCTTGTATGGTTACTTTGTATATATATCTACAATACAAAATAGATTTCTATTTTAATTAACGATAAAAACTATATTCTTCCACACGTTAAAACAATAAAGTTATCGAGAGTTTTAGAGGCAGTTTTATAGTCAGAATTAAGAAACGAGATATCTTAATTATGTTACGGAAGCTAAAGTCCTGTGTGAAATAATGGGAGTGTTTAACTAATTCTCTAATGAGTTATCATTACATTCGTGCTATCAATCTCACTTTCAGTCATTCTTTATTCGATTTTATCATAAGAAGAGATCGCGTTACGTAAAAAAAAACGTGATAAACGTATCCGAGTAAATATGATACGCGCTTGAGACTTATTTGCAAGTAACAGTTTCAAATTGTATTATTTCAAAGAAACATGACAATTTTTTTGTTTTTTAATGTATTTCTCAAGATCTCTTCGTATGGTGAAGTTCTCAATCGACACAGTGTACATAATAAAACCAAAGTTAGCGAAACACTCTGTCTAGGCAGCTTCCGAGAAAGGCTTCCGGAACAAATGTAACTTCTACTATTCAAAGTTGTTAAGGATTTGTTTATATGACATGTACAGTGTGTTTCATATGGAAAATAACAAATTCTTTCGGGGAGAAAAGTTACAGAAACCCCAGTGAATTACTGTTGCCTTTATAATTATTTGATTTCACGTAATTGCATATAATTCCCTCGAAGAAACGTCTCGTACGAAGTTTTCCCTTCGTTATGAAACACTCTACCTACGTGTTACACGATACACGAATGAAGAGAAATGACAAATTTTATAATCGTTGAATTGTCGATGCACAAGTCTATCTTTTACGAATGCAACAATGCCCGTCTTCGATGATGCCAATGGGAAGATTTATCATTCGAAACCGTTGCTATTGTGAGAAACAGTGACGCCTGGAGTTGATCGTATCCGGAAATAGATTTTTCATGATGCCATCGACCACATTTTCAAAGAATCTTGCCACGCACGATCAATTCAAATGTTCACGGATTCAAGTCGTTGAATATTCATTACAATTGTGGTCTCGAACGTAGAAATATTTTTAAATCGTGCCATTTTCTCTTTTAGATTGACCAGCGACTACAGTAATCTATTGTAAACCGATTTTAAGTATTCGAATTTTCTGCGCTTGTTTTGCCCAAAATGAATTTCCAATTACTCGTATAATTTAATATAATTCAAATATAAATGCCACGAATAAATTAACTAATATTTTCATATTACAATAGAAACGTTGTTCTTGTGGTTGTACAAACCTAAATAATATTAGAACAAAATGTTTGTATTTTTAGTCTTTCATGTTTTTTCTGTGTCTTATGTATAATCGAGAACGTTAACTGCACAAACGAGGAAATGAAAAATATGATCAAAAGTGATTTATTACGTTGTTAAAAGAAACAGGAAGTTCCTAAATGAGATCGATACATAAAAGAAAAAAGAAAGATTAAATGTTCCTTTGTAAATGAAAAACGTTTTGAATCGAACAAACCGAAATTGAATTTTTTTATTTATTCTTCTCGACTAGTCTAACATCGATTCTTCACCCTTTAAATTAACGAATGTTCTTATTCATTGACAGAACAAAAATTGGTCGTTATTTTCTTCTTCATTCGAAGGACAAGTTTCTGCGTTCGGGACGAAACCGATTCAATGAAAGCCATATAAAACTGTAGTATATTTTTCTATTGTAACGTACGCGTATGCATGTGTCGCGTCTCTAGTCTGTAAAACCGTGAGTTTTCGTCCAATTGCCGAGCCTTTTGTAATTCTAAACGGAAATGGATGATCGTTCGCTAAGGGGAACGACGAAAAATGAATAATCGAAGCGGGGCGAAGGATCACGCGTGTCGCGTGATCACGAATTCGAGTGAGAATGCGAGTGAAAAGATATACGAGAATGTTGATGATAATTGTTTCCATCCACGTGTGACAGTCTATTTTTATTTTACGGCCATAAGTTTTTTATCTGTTGTTTCTTTGCCTTCTTTTGTTTCGAAAGAAAAAACTATCTAGTACATTTCGTTTTATTTTCCTATGTTTTTTTTCCTTTATTTTTTGGCTGTGAAACAAATGAATAAACGATTAGACCCTGAACTGAAATCAGACTTTATTTGAATTGTTTCGACAGTAGCTGATGCACTATTCGCCGTCATCTGCTAATTTTGTCTCTGTCTTCATATATTATAGTGAGTGGAGAAGGGAAAGCTTTTGTGAAATTTATATCGAAGCTTTATAAAATATTAATATTACAGTTACTGACATTAATAATTAATAATAGTTAGTATTATCAACAACATTGTAATATTAGTATTTAATTAGTCCATAAACATTTCACAAGATCTTTTTTTTTGAAAATCCAGACATATATATATTTAGTTAGGTCACTATTGTTCTCAGCCACTCATACGTTTCATCATCTTGTTCGTTCCTTTTTTTTCGAAATCGACGTACATAACACACTATTTGTAGAAAAATGTGAATAAAAGATAAGACATATTATATCTATTGGATTGACGAAAGACTAATGTCGTTTTCCGATAGTACCGAGGAGACCAATTACAAGCTACCAATAAATACTTTATTACAGGGTGCAATGAAGTCAAGTTTGTTAGTTACGAGATGTCTGTTTGCGAGACACTTAACCTTCGTTGGAACTCGTGCGTTACTTTATATGAGGCTGATCCGTTTAATTAATTTATTGAGAAATAAATAGAAACGCGGCTGCTTCTGCGAGGAACATCTGTCAGACGTTTCCAACGAGTATATTGATTTGAGACGCGTGACAACGGAGATTTAGGCAGATTTCAGTCGAATAATTAATAACTAAACTGCATGATTTTTCGATGACTAATCAAATATTTCGAAATGACCGATCTGTGTACTAGGGAGCAACAGAAGAATTATGTAAAAGATCGATGTCACTGTTAGAAAGTTTTCTTTATTCAAAAGAGAAATTTGTTGCAACGTGGTTTACAGCACATAAGCAATTGTAATTCTTGTAAAATCATAACAAGCTTCTAAATATAATAATATAAACAATAGATGCATTGTCAAATAACAACGCTATGCATTTAAGGGTCAACATCGTCGTTGAAACAGAATTGTTCGTCGGAAATCTATGGCGATGAGTATTCATAAATCGTACGATAAACTATAATCGGAGCTTGTAAATTACTTATGCGAATTCACGGCGCTATCGGAAAATGACATTATCATTGATCCAGTATTGTTTACCTCTCTCGCGTTCGCAATTGAAGAATAAACAAGTTCAAGTGCAATGCATCATCGAATATTATGCAAATTCATATTTTTATATAGATGACTTACAACGACCACAACGAAACAAAAATGAATTGTTATCGATGATTTTGTTGGGTTCAACGGAAAAGGAAGCCTTGTCTAATCTGTAACGAAGTTCGGATTTTATTGCATTTTATTTGCTGTGGTAACGAGTGGTCCATTATGCTTCGCAGGTTTGTTATTTGTTATCGAGAACATCAGAAATATTTGATGTTTCAATAATATTTATTATTTAGTATAATATATTTTCAGAAAAGATATTTAGAAATCTTGTCGGAAGAATAATGAATTACTTATTGCTGCATCTAATATTATTATTCAGTATTTTGTAAATTCACCTGATGATTCTACTTACTGATCATCTACAGTGAGCACAATTTTTATCGATGAATTTCATAATAAGGATTATTAATGTATATTTTTGATTACATCGTTGAACGAATTTCGCGCTTAAACAAGGTTTTCTTTTTGAGTCAGTTATGGGAAGCGTAACATTTTTAAAATTTTATTACAGATAAATTACGACAGAATGCGTGAAAAAATGTTCGAAAATTTGTTCGATTATGAGCGTTTCTTATCTCTCGAGAAAACGTCCTCGCAGATCGCCGAGTCACTGAAAAACAATGGTGTCTTCGTAAAAACGCGCCAACAACTTTAAAATCAAGAACGTCTCTTCCCCGTCATCTTTTTAAATTCAGATTTAAAAATTCTTTCTCATTCCGTATTAAAACTTACATTTTTAATATTAATCCTCCGTTTCGTAAAACAAGCAATACTCGAAGTAAGTTGAATGCTACCGATTACTCTCCAAAATATTCTGCATTAACACGTTAATCTCGCGAGTCGCAAGAAAA